ATAGATGGCTGGTTCTGCACCACTTGGTAGTGAATCTATATATGTCAAGCTAGATATTGTGAGGTCCCTTTAGGAGCGAGTGAACAGTGCTGAGGCAGATCATTATGATCTGAGGAGAATGATGCTACGAGACGTTACCGGGGGATCTGGCCGATGCTCAACACTCAAGGGAAAGGTGAGACGGATATACAATCAGACAGTTACTGGTGTCATCGAAATTGGAACTCTTCGCTTGCTGCTGAAGATGGGGATGAAGTGCTTATGGGAGTGTCCCAAGTGCTGTGATGTCGATTCTCAATTCACCATTTGGCATTTAGCATCCAGTTCACCATACTGGATATCCTTTGGAATGAAACTGTCCTCCATTCAAGAAACATGTCCCAACCAATGCAGGCATCATGGCTTCAGTAAAAGTGCATTGTTGGAATTCCTGCTCTTCTGAGTGCGCATTCGTTCGGGGAAAAATTCCGCCATGATATACCACTTTTGTCTAGTGTTTTCTCATTGAATGCTAATATTTATATTCCACCCTGTCTGTTCATATGCCCTATAAATGTAATTTGTCTTGGTTCTTAATTTTTAAAATTGATATATGTTGCTCTGGGCAAACGTGTAAGTACTCCACCTCTCACCAAATGTCAGACGTTTAGTTTGATCATTCTGGTAACACACCATCTGTAAACACATAGGATTCATCCATAAATACTGCAAGCATGCATAAAAATCTAAATGTGTTTTATATTTAGTTTGTCACCATCACAACCATATGTTGAAAAAGCTTTAAGTATTCAAGATTTCTTTTTCTTTCTTTTTTCTTCTTCTTCTTCTTCTTCTTCCGTGCTTGCCCTTTAAGCACAGCTAGCATGTTGTGTTGTAACTTACAGCAAGGCTGTGATATATGCACCATTCAGCTCATCATATCCAATTTGGTTCTTATCATGATAATGCCCCCGCAGCGAGAGTTATTTACTGTCCCATTCATGCCTCAGCCGGTCACACTGCCTGTCCTGTGGGAGTGTCATGTATTCCATATTTTCAGCGGTTCTACCGTTCTCTCTTTTCTCATATTGTCACTATCACTTGTGAGATTATTGGTACATTGTGCTACTTGTGCGACAGTTTGTGAGTAGCGAAACTGGGATGTTTTTGTATTTCTACTTTCCTTGGCGGTTGCTTCCTTCTCTGGGAGGAAGCCACTGCTAGGGAAAGTAGAAATAAAAAAATATCCCTGTTTCGAAATGAGCCGTCACCCTGCGGTGCTCCCCCCTAAGTACTTCTTACTTGTACACAAGAGTCTGTGGCTCCTCAAAGAGACTCATGACAACACAACATCCCACAAACATTGTATACGGTGAGCAAACGCTAAACAATGCCATATCATAACACACACACACAACATAGTACAGCTTGTGTGACCGGCCGCGGCATGAATGGGGTGGGAAGTAACTCTTGCCATGCGGACACTATCGTGATAAGTTCCTCCAACTTTAGAAAACCCCTAATTAGTTGTCTTCTACAACATGCATGCAGTAGGTCTGGGTTTTTTTCTCCCAGTTTCCAACTTTAAATGGTTGCAAATGTTTATTTTATTAGGATCATTTTGTATGTATATGTCTATTTGTATATCTTTAATAGACCTTCCATCTGACTTCAGTATAGCCCAATTTTTCATAATAAAATCATTATAAAATAAGTTCTCCATTGATAATTTATATTGCTCTTTCATCAAAATTCGGAGTTTCACAAATAATTTATACTGTTATCTCACCAAATTTCAGAGTTTCATTGATAACTGTTCTCTCACTAAGTTCCAGAGTTTAATTATTATATATGTTTGTTCTCTTACTAAGTTCTAGAGTTTAATAATTAATATATGTTTGTTCTCTCACTAAGTTCCAGAGTTTAACAGTTTATGTTTGTTCTGTCACTAAGTTCCACAGTTTAACTAATAACTGATGTTATCAAGACTTCGATTCCATTGATAATGTAATCTGATTGCTTGTCAAGGTGCTGGGTTCCACTGATATGGGAAATCTAAGCCACAAGCTGCCTTGTCTCCACCCTACCTACCAGTGTGGGACAGAAGCTTTCAATCACACAAGAGAATTCACTACAGCAGTTGGTGAGTCCAGTAACTCCAATTGCCTCAATAATGCTCATAATATTGTGAGCACAATATTATCCATTTTCTAGAATGTTGTTTTCGCTAGCTTTCTTTGTTGATGATTTTATTTAATCAATTTTTTAAACCAGAAAAATTACAGTGATAGCCATTACTGAACAGATAGCCGCTACTAAACAGACAAATCTTACCCATATTTAACCCAATGACTACTACAATCACGTTATGCGATCAGCTGAGATTTACACTTGGCTGCTTTAATCACACTCCCTGTGATCGTAACTTTGGATGCTCCCCGTCACGGTAAAATCGTAACTTTTGCAACAAAATAGCATAAGCCATTAGTCCATTCATTTCTCTGTTTCTTTAAGGCAAACAGTTCTGTAGTACTTAAGGTAAATTTTTCACAAATTTGTTCAGTCAGCTCCCATGTTATCAGTTGGATTATCTTCACTGCACTCCGGGCACATCCATAGGTGCTCAGATTCCCCCTTTAACATACTTATTAGCATCATGCGGGTAATAGCACAAGTCCTGTACTAGTTGACGAGACTTTGTGTACGTTCTGTGTGCTTCTTATGCTTGGCTTTGCTGATCTTTATTCCCAATTCTCATATTCTTAGCAGTGATGTGGACACAAAGCTTCTGAAATCCTCTTAACATCCTATCTGTGTTAGACCATTGACAATGTCTGTGTAATCCGTGGGTTGGCCATCTGCCATTTATGCAGTCTTTCAGTCTGCTGATAGTGAGATTGGCAGACAGTTATTTGATGGGAGAAAGAAGAAGTCCCCGGAACAGAAGCAGATGCAATCTCTGCTCAATATTATGGCTGCCAGGACCCTCACTGCTAACAGGCCTTTGCGTGCTTTTGTTATAACATGGTCAACATGTTCTTTATAGGACAGGCTGCGATCAAACCTCACTCCTAGATATGTCATCAGGTTTGTTCTCACCAAACTGTTTGTGCTGCTTTCCACTGCTGGTAAGTCTGCCTTCACTATATGCGTGTTCAAGGAGAACCACATTACTGAGGCCTTTGAAGAGTTGACATGTGCATAAGAATCTATATACCAGGTGGAGATGCAATCAAGTTCACTCTGCATTGAATTGGCTATCTCTTGACAATCTCTTCCATGTCGGTACACAAAGACATCATCAGCAAATAAGTCCTGTCACTTCCGTGCAGTTGTTCTCAGTTATCAGCACTGTGTACACATTGAATAGAACTGGAGACAGTGGAGAACCTTGAGGCCATCCTGGGCTAATGGTTATCAGTTCTGAGGACCAACACCCACACCTGAGTATCACCCGTCTCTGAAACAGTGCTGCAGCTACCTAGTGAGTGATAAAGGGAGATACTTCCAGTTGTAGAAGCATGTGCACCAAGTATTTCTATGGTACTCTGTTGAACACATCCCCTAAGTCTAGTGCGGCTGCAAGTGTCTTCTATTATCTGAAAAAACTTCATAGACTCCCATTTAGATGTGTTAGGCAGATGTTTTGATAATGGTGGCCGATCCTCAGAGCAATGACAGCATTTTGAGGAATTCTTCTGGTGCCGTGGATGATTTTCCTAATTTTTTTTAGATCAGAAAGTGAAGGTAAAGATACTGCTATTAAGTTTGATGACTGTGACTTTAATCATTCTTGTAAATTGCCAAGAAAAATATTGTCAAAAATGAAAAGACAACATTTTGCTTGCTTATCAGCAGTGGCAAGAAAATGTTTGTTGGCTAATGAAGGAGGAAATAGAGCATGTGTGGGAATGTTCTATGTGCAGTGTTATTTCATGATCGCCCATGACAGAAAAAACATTGTCTAATCAAGACCAGGCGTATGAATACAAAAAGTAGAAAGTTTAAACTAGAGCCATTACATGGTGTACCACAATTATTACTATAGCTAGAATCTATGCTAACGCAGTGTCTAGATGCTTTTGTACCAAACCAAACAGCTGAAACCCACATTAAGATGGATAGTTTAATAATAATTTGTCTTGACTCCCATGTTTAACCAGCTTAAAATGGATACAAGGAAATATTTGGGAGGTAAAGGTGGCTGGTATGATGTCGACTACATCACCCACTGAGTACTGAACTGTCTAAAAAATCTGGTGTGAAAAAAATTCTTTCATTACTTTATAATACTACAGCTATGAGCCACTGTGGTGTAGTGGCTAGTCACTCGCCTGTGGGCCTAAAGAGAGGTTTAAATCTACACAAAGCCAGATTTTTTTCAAACATGATCTTGGCTTCCAGGTCTACCCAGCCTAAAATGGGTGACAGGTTATGTCCTGGGAAGTAAAGGCGACTAGTGTGATGCTGACCACATCACCAACGTAATGCAGACTGGTCTATAAAATATAGGTTTGCCCTATGCCTAAGTGTGTGGGAAAAGGGTCCTTTACGTTCAGGCAGGTTGAACGGATAAATCAAATCAATTACACAGAACATTGAAATGAAAAGAATATTTGTGACTAAAACATTCACATGAGTTTTCATTGAAATTCCAGGCTCACCCGAAGCACAGCCATCTACCATTGCTCAAGGCAAGATTCTTGCCATGGTCGCAGTTGATATATTTGTCAAAACCTCATTTACTGGACAATATAAAACAAGACTTTGAAAATGACAAGGCAAACTTTTAATTTTAGTGCTGCATGTTTCTTCCTTTTTTATTTACAAGGATTTTTTTTTTTAAACTCAACAAAACCAGTGATGCTAGATTTTGGGTAGGATTCTCATAAATAAATATGAAAGTTGTGTCTATGGATACTGCACAGACTACAGCACAGATTATGTTAAGGTATTTCTCCAGTGTCTGATATATGAGGGCTTCACTACTGCACAAAACATGTGAGTGTCTTTCTCCAACATTACAGAAATTAGCGTTGTAAGCGATACATTCTACAAGATGAATAATAACAAGACCATAATATCACTGCACATTTCATATATCTTTATTTAGCATGCATATATTCTTCTTGCAAGAATTCTTTTGTATTGCACAGACCAGATTTTATCAATACGACAGAAAAAAACAACTCAGTAAATTATAAAATCATCTGGCAAATCTCTGCTGCCTTAGTTCCCCACTGCCCACACATTATAAGTGTGAAATATTTTATGTGAACAAAATATAATTATACTGTAGACAATAACTGATAATGTCTGTGATAACAATAAATATAACAAGTAAATAATAAAAACTATGTGGAATGGTAAGACCTTTGATTGTTTCTACATGTTTTGCCTTCGCCTTCTGAAAGTCAGTATAATGTAAGACCTGAACATGCCCATTTCTTCTTTCAAATATGAGAAAGAAAAACCCCAAAGTGGAACTGACTATATACACACAATAGTTAGGAGGATTCAGCGTTGCTGTGGTCTCTGTGACTTCATCCTCTCTCACAAATGAGGTCTATCACCTGGGGAGGAATAAACAGTACAGCTGAGAACAGAATATGTGTGGGGGTTAACATGTCAAAGGTAAAACAATCAAAAGTACAGCAATTATGATAGAAAGTGTTTAAAATATAATTAATTCAAAGTATTTTTTCTTCCTTAACTGATGGAGCAATACACAGGAACACAATACAGCAGTTTATAGACCAACAGATGGAGCAATACGCAGGAACTCAATATAGCAGTTTACAGACCAACAGATGGAGCAATACACAGGAACTCAATATAGCAGTTTATAGACCAACAGATGGAGCAATACGCAGGAACTCAATACAGCAGTTTAAAGACCAACAGATGGAGCAATACACAGGAACTCAATACAGCAGTTTATAGACCAACAGATGGAGCAATACGCAGGAACTCAATATAGCAGTTTACAGACCAACAGATGGAGCAATACGCAGGAACTCAATATAGCAGTTTATAGACCAACAGATGGAGCAATACGCAGGAACTCAATATAGCAGTTTACAGACCAACAGATGGAGCAATACGCAGGAACTCAATATAGCAGTTTATAGACCAACAGGAACTCAATACAGCAGTTTACAAACAGATGGAACAATACACAGAAACTCAATACAGCAGTTTATAGACCAACAGATGGAGCAATACGCAGGAACTCAATATAGCAGTTTACAGACCAACAGATGGAGCAATACACAGGAACTCAATACAGCAGTTTATAGACCAACAGATGGAACAATACACAGGAACTCAATACAGCAGTTTACAAACAGATGGAACAATACACAGGAACTCAATACAGCAGTTTATAGACCAACAGATGGAGCAATACGCAGGAACTCAATATAGCAGTTTACAGACCAACAGATGGAGCAATACACAGGAACTCAATATAGCAGTTTATAGACCAACAGGAACTCAATACAGCAGTTTACAAACAGATGGAACAATCCACAGGAACTCAATATAGCAGTTTATAGACCAACAGGAACTCAATACAGCAGTTTACAAACAGATGGAACAATACACAGGAACTCAATACAGCAGTTTATAGACCAACAGATGGAACAATACACAGGAACTCAATACAGCAGTTTATAGACCAACAGATGGAACAATACACAGGAACTCAATTTAACAGTTTACAGACAATCATATGAAGAAATATACAGGGACTCAATACAGCAGTTGACAATCATCAGTGTACTTACACTGGGCTCCATCATCACAGGGTCCACACATCTGTGAACAGCACTACACACAATTTCATCCAACAGCACCTGCACCAAGCTGGAACAGATCACATGTTCAAAAATCAGGGGGGACTTCAAGGATTATTGTTGTGTGTCACTTGCATACACATAAACATTAAGAGAAATAGTGCCAGAATGAGTGGGGTTGGAACATGAACGTATGAATATTAATGTCTCAGTTATCTTGTGATTTTTAACTAGCATGAATTTTAAGATGGGGGCAGGAGCTCAGAATACTAGCTGAGACTTGGGGAAGGTCACAGTACCTGTAGTCCCCGAAAACTGCGTAGCATCTGCACGACATTCAGCACGACAAAAGTGAAATGCATGTACTGAATGGGTAGGTATAGGAATGCAAAAAAAACTGCTCAGAAATAGATTTGATTAGTGAGACCTGCTGGCGTTGTTGTTATATTCTCTAAATTGTGGAGACTGATGGGCAGTTCGGACTTGTTGTGCTGATGTTATTAGTTGTGTATAAACATCACCAGTTGTAGGGCTATTCCGACTTCTTGCCGGTTTATTCTTCAGCGGTATTCAACTCACATAAAGTTTTTTTTTTCCCCACCACTGGCACATTCAACACATAGTACTAGACATGCACACATTTTTTTTTTGCAGATTAATCAACACTCGATAGGTGATGTCTTCAACATCATACCAGCTTTTACCAAAAAGTATGATAAAAAAAATCTACTTGCCATAAGATGCAAATGCTGAAAATTTATTTTATATACTGTGTGATGTTGTAACTAATTCCCATGCCATTGAATAAATTAAAAACAATAAACGAGACCCTGCACCCTAAAAAGTATAAAAAAGTTCATTTAATTGTTTTTATTAAAGCATTTAGTTTTTCATTTGGTCATGTTTAGTGATTAATTAGGGATCAGTATTTGAAAACAAATGTCTGAGGAAACTGATAAACAAAAAACAAACAAAAAAGGGATGAATTCAATAACAGCTAAGAAGTAAGAGAAATATCTGAACAACAATCACTGGTATTGATAAAGGCAAAGATGATGATGCTAAAATGGGCACATACTGGGAAGAAGGGAGCAGAGAACTGGAAGCAAATGGACTGAGGAAATATCTCAGATAACCCCTAACATAAACAAAGAAAGTGACCGAAGGTGATGAACTGAATTCCATCCATAATATCAAAAGGATTGCACAAAATAGAACATAATGGGGGACTAGACTACAAGCCCTATGTGACATACAATATCACAACATCATATTGATAATGATGATTATCTGCCTCACACATCGGATATGAATTGTTCAGTCCTAAGTAACTCTTAGGATTTTTCAACCCTTTCACCCTGGCAACACTTTAAAAAAATCCTTTAAAAACAATTTTTTTTAACAGGTGACTAATACATTTTTTAACAATGTGGCCAATATCCTTCAGTTAAGGAAAAAAAAATAAAAGAACAAAGCACTCAACCAATTCAAACCAAAATTGTCTAGCTTTTGCCATCTTGTGCAGCTCCCTTCATGACCTTCTATATTATTCAATTCTGTCTCTAATTCTCCATAAAGAACCCTTTTCACGCCTATGACTCATCTGACATATAGTGTTAGACCTATATTTATTACACTAATCAGCACTTGGTGGGTGATGTGGTCAACATTATGCCGACCACTTTTCACTTCCCAGGGCGTTACCTGGTACTCATTTTAAGCTGGGTCGACCTGGCACCCAATGTCAATTTTGACCGAAAAATCCGCGTTGATGCTGGAAAAACCCCCAGATCTTTGGGCCAAAAACAAGTATCTAAATAAAGTGGCTCTCACATATTTCGTCGTCTCTTCCCCCCCCCCCCCCCCCCCCCCCTGAAGGTCAGTGCAATGATATTTCATTAATTTTTCCTTCCCTCCTGAGTCACTGGAACTACACAAGTCAGGTTAACAGTGAGCTGAAAACCCCAACAGCCCCCAGCAAATTTAATCAGTAGTTTGCATTGCTTTATAGACGGTCGGCTTTCTTGCTAAGCAATTAAACAGTTAAAAAGCATTACAAAGCTGGTAGCCACAGACAAAGAAGACTCATAAACTGGTCAACAAAGAAGACTCACTTTTCGTCCGACACAAATCTCCAGAGGTACAACTGCAGGTAGTGAGTATCCACTTGAATCTGCTGCAGCCCATATTTGCCAAATGTCCTCAATCGCACACACTCCAGGAATGTCTGTGTTGTAAATATGATAAAGATAAAATATTTATTTCTTTTTCTTAAAATCCATGCAGTGTGGCGTTGGTGGACATGTCTATCCACAACCTTCTGTCTTGTATGCTTTCAATTAACTCTCACACAGATGATCCACCATGTGATGATGTCAAACTGTCATGCATTTTCTCTCCTGGTCTCTTCTCTGCCTCTCCTCCCCTCTAACTTTCCTACTGTCCTGATGTACTCTAGTTTTCTCCTTCTCATGACATGACCAAAGAGTGTAGACTGTCTCCTTCCAGCAATTAGTTCTCCTCATGAGTCAAGTTTCTTTCAAGACATCTTCATTACTCTTTTTATTTTCCCAGGGTATTCTCATCATCGTCTATAAAACCACATCTTCGCAGTTTCCAAATAATTAATCACTATTTTTTTAAATTAAAAAATATCTATATTTATCTATGAAACTTCAAAGTAAAAGACTCAAAATGACATGAGGTTTATGGGATATATGGTGCTAGCTTCATTATTTTACATCATGTCAGTCAGTGAGCAATGTGGTCAATATCATGACATCTGCCTTTGCTTCCCAAGAAATTTCGGGGTATCTGTTTTAGGCTGGGAAAGCTTACGAGCTTATATAAATGAAAAAAAAAAATCCCTGCCTCGTAGATTTCAACACGTGACTACTTGGCTTGTAAGGAAGCATGCTAATCAAGAGGGTCCATCAGTATCAAGACATTAGGTTTTACTGCAACTGACACAATAAAATGAAATCCTAACCTGCACAGTTCGTGGTGACAGCACTAGCCACACAGCTTTGTTGTTGTTGTTGTTATCGATCCAGCGGCGCATGAGCTTTCGCCCTTTGGCCCAATGCCATGTAGTGGAATTTGCATGTTTTCACAAGCTGTTCTTTTCCTCCGTACAAGGTGTTCCACTTGTCTGGTCTTGGAGGGAGTAGCGTTCTTCTTGTCTCACTGAGTTTTGGGCACTCAAAGAGATGGTGTTCAACAGTTTCGTAGGGGTAGTTACATAGCTGGCACTCTGGGGAGTGTTGTGGCTGTATTCTGTTTAGGTGTCCATTGAGTGGAGTATGTTGCGTTTCTAAGTCTGAAGATGGTGGCCTGGTCCCTTCTTGTTAGATGGTTAATGCTGTCATTAGGATCAGGGCCAGGACAATATGTCTATAAACCTCTCTTCCAGTGTCTCCATGGCCCATCTGTTCAACCAAGTCTCTTTGTTTATAGCTCTTATCAGTGTTTTTGCTGTCTGGAGGGTTGTCGCTGTAGGTGGTTGTTCTTGTGTTGCTCCTTTCTTTGCCAATCTGTCAGCTCTGTCAGTACCTGGTGTGTGCCGGAGTGACCTGGAATCCACTGCATCACTATTCTGATGTTGTATGAGGTAATAAGCTGATCGGCATCCAGGATTATCTTGGCTATGTCAGTTCTGCAGCGTTCATTGCCCTCCAGAGCTTGAAGGGCAGACAAAAACAGGCAGTTTTATGGCAGATAACTGTTAAAAAGATTTTGTTTTAATCAACATTCTCCCAGTGTAGATTTCGGGGCCCCGTTGTGAGGGGAAAACAAGAATATACCTATTGCCTCCCTAACAAGCATATCATATGAATCGACTAATTAGGGCATTCCTTTGAAGTCAGAGTGCATCTGCATGAGAGGCAAGAAACCAACAGTCTGCATACAATAAGGCCAGATTTGTATAATGGGTGCACATGCAAAACTCAAGTCCTTGAACACGGCCCATCTAGAAATGAACAAACAGTCAGGACTTTACAGCTGGTGAACGCAAACAAATAACCAACATTGATTTATGCCTGGGGGGATTCTAGGGTCCTGATCTGACATAAACTTAATAACCTTCTTTGTTTACCCTTAAAATGACTGTTGTTTTGTGGTTTACAGCAGGGCTGTGATAACTGCCTTTCAGCTCATTGCATTTCCTTTTTGCAAACCCTTATTTGTCACCTTTTATGAAATGCTGGTTTAGAAATAAATGGGTCGATTCTTTTCTATTTTTCTTTAAAAAAAAGGGGGTCCCTCGACCCTAAAAAAAGGAGTTGATACTCTGTAATAATGTAACAAAATCAAACACAAGATTACAGAACAGCAAAACAGTAAAAGAAGCCATTGCCAACCTTTAAACTAATCTTGACTATCCCAGTGAGAACAGACACTTTAGAAAACTCTACAGCACTGAAAATCTCAATCTTCTCAGAGAACAATTTTTGAATGTTACTCATTAGGCTGTTATCAATGCTGAAATATAAAGAAAGAAAAAAAACCTTATGTAATACATTTACCCAATATTTATACAAAAGCCGTAAATAAAATGTTGATTCCAGAATCAATGCATCAGTGCTGGAAGTTAATACTTATGCTGGAGTTACTGCATTTATGCTGGGATTAATATCTTTAGAGTTATCTCAATGTTGTCCAATCCTCATCTTTTCAAACCAAAAGGGCATTATCTCTGTAAGTCCCAAGTATTGCTGAATTCAACAGTGTTTTTGGTAGTAATGTTTTTGTATCCTTCAGCAACAATTTTTAAAATAATGTTATAATTAACCATTCTGTAACAATGTAGAAACATGTTTTATTTAAAACGTTGGTTTTTTGTTTATTAGAAAATCACTGACTAGTGAAGAAAGGAATATTAAACAAAATAAATTACAAACCAGAAATCAGATAGATGACTGACTGAAAGTGTTTTCCCACCCCCAAACTGTTAATTGAATGTCTGACTCAAAGAGTCACATCCTTGATGCCAATCCAACCAGACAAACCCCAGATACTCTGGAAGTAATAATTAGGGCACCAGTAATGGCTATACCAAGTACTACCTAATGGGCCTCGTGCGGGAGGCTGAAGTAACCACTTTCTTTTTCATCTTTGTCTTCTGTACTCATCTGAAGATGTAGATGTGTTGTGCCCATTTACAACATGGCTGCGATATCTGACATTTTCGGCCGACATATATGACTTCTGCAGGAATTTGGTGACAAGGTTAGCCTTCCCAGCAACTGACTCTAAAGGCATCCAGTTGACAGCTCCCTTGTGAACAAGGGACCATTACTGCAACCCATCCAGTTGGTTACTTCTTTTTATTATTTCTGTAGTGGATCTACAGCACTGTATCGCTCCATTAGCCAGCAAAATGTCAAAGTCAAACAAATCAGATAGTTTGTGGGAATTTTCAGCATTAATAAAATGAATACACCCTTTCTAATCTATGCCCTACAGTAAAAGTGAAGAATTAAATGAAAAATGAGTGAGAAAAATATGCAAAATGTAGTTGATGAAAATTGCCAACCTGGGTGCATAGTTCCACTGTGGCCGTCTGTTCTGTTGTGATGTGCTGAGTGCATGAGTCCGGCGGCTTGAGTCACTGCTTCGTTCTCGTCTGACACCTTCTTCATACAGCTGGCCAACCTGAGCAGTATATAAAGTCAAGTGCTGTTACATCACTGCTGATGAAGCTGTGTGTGTGTGTGCGCGCGCATGTCTGGGTGCTCATGCACATGAGTATCTTAAAACAAATACATTTGATTACCTTTGACAAATAAGTACAGTTGTTTGGACTACGCATTTTTAGTTTGCAATTTACAGTTTGTCTCCTCCAGGATTAACACCGGAAGGATGAGAATCCTACATGCACAAATCCTGTTAAGTCCTGTTTAACTGGAAGGTTATACTGGGCCCCCAGCAGTTACGAAGTAACCAGAAGTCAAAGCCCAGTAAAGATACACACATTTTTATTTATAAACTACTTTTTAAAGCACATAAATTACGCAGTAAGGAGTACAATATAATAGTTATAAACTGTTCCATTACAAGTGTATAAAGCTGTTTTTAAAACAAATAAATGTAGCTGTTCATACTATGACAAACAATTGAAACTTCTAACATGCAACATTTGATTACTGTTCTCACTAAAACAAAAAAGTGAACCTTTTTTAACTACAAGAAACAAGTGAACCTGTTTAAACAATTAATGTTATTACAACTACAACAAATAACTGAAACTGTTTTAACTAACAAAACAAAACAAACAACAATAAAAAACTGAAGCTATTTTAACTGTGACAAACAACTGAACTATGACAAGCAAATTACACTGATCAATTATTAACATTTCAGTTCACTCTGAAACAAATGTGTTTTGACAACACAATCATGTTCATTTGTTCCTTGATGTTCAGATGATTCAGGATGTCAGTATTTCTCTTCTTCTTTGTCCATGGTATTCTGAGAATTATGGTCTTAAAGCTTATGCTATATGACGTCCGTCCGTAGACTTCCAGAAACCATCGGGCCAATCTAAGATCTTCTATCTTAGCTGGTATCACCCTGCCTCTCCCACCCATATTTTTAAAGAACAGCTGGCACTCAGTGTGTGATGTCAGTATCAGCTTGTGACCTTTACTTCCCAGAACATTTCCTGGTAGCCATTTTTCCCTGTTTGGATTCTGGGGTCGCACCCAATGCCTAAACCCCCCCCCTCCCCCTCTTTCCCCCACAAGCCTGTCATTAGCGTCAACTAATTAGGAGTGTTTTCCCTATGAAGTCAGAGTGCATCTGCCTGAGAGGCAAGGAACCGACAGTCTGCAAACAAATAAGACAAGATCTGTAAAATAGATGTGCACACAAAACTTAAGTTCTAGAACAAGACTAAAGCCCAGAACTGAATCATCAACCAGAACTTTCTGCCAAAATGTACAGTCGGGGAAAGCTAAGAAGAAGAAGCTCTGTATGTACCTGCATATCAATAGCTGTGATATCCTCTACAACACGTTTCATGACAGCACGAACATTACGAGGCTCTATGGTGTTCAGCCAGTCTCTTGTTTCCACACTTTTACGTAGCATCTGCAACAAATGTTATGTGGACAGTTGTTTAATATATGTAAATCACCTGCACAGATGCTTACTGACAAAATATATGACTATGAAGACATTCAGTCCAAACAAACCATAATAAACTGTAAATTAACTCCTTATCTGGCGCCTAATTTTCAGCTCTGAATAGCAGGGCTTGGTAATTCTTTGAATGGACTGCTGCCATTTGTACACCTATTGAGTGTCTATATTTATTGTGTATGTTTAGAGCATGCTGAAAGTTTGGCGACAGTATGTTGAGAAAGGAGACAGGTAGGTATACTACTACTTCCTTCTTCCTCCAACTACATCATCAAGGTGTTGGGGGTGGGGGGGGGGGGGGGGATCTTCTGTGTGGTCTTTCTATTATATTGCAAAAGTGAATAAAACGTCCCTTAGTGCAACAAAGCTTGGCATATGATATCACAATGTCTAGTTTGAGAATGGAGGTGGAGGCAGTCACTGCTGCCTTCCGCTGGCTTGAGAATCAGCTGTACACACATGCTGTGATTGCAAATGACTCACAGAGCATAAGAAAAGTGGAGAATGGTATGCTCCGTGCAGAGTGGCAAGCATCACTTCGAAGTCCCAGGTTGTTATTTTGATATTTTCCCTAGGTAAATGGAAAATTAAAGATTGGCTGGTCCTGCACAACACAGTGGTAAACTGATGTGTGACAATGTAAATGTTGTAAGGGTCTTCTGGGAGAGAGTAAACAGAGTGCAGAGGCATAAAGAGAACATCAGGGTCTGAGGAGCAGCAAGGTCTGACAAGGGTCCAACTTATTTTGCCGATGCTGAACACTCAGGGCAGGGAAAAAATGGTCTGGTACGACTGGAACTGGAACTATGCACTTGCTGCTGTAGATGGGGACGAAGAGTTTCTGGAAATGTCCTGAATGCTTTAATGTTGCTACTTGACTAATAACCTATTATATTTATTTTTCTTTAATCCAAGCTGTGTGGTACTGGTCATCATGTTCGTCCAGAGCCTTCTCTCTTGTGTATTGATTATCAAATGTTCTGCCTTGCCATGCTGCCAAACTGTCCAGCATCCTCTCTCCCGATTATCCTCTACCTATCTCGTGCACGGTCTATCATGTCTGATACAAATATTCTCCCTTGCCATGTCATCACACAGACTCTCTTGTTCTTTGCCTCCAACTTTCCTGTTAACTTTTATTTTTGTTTCCCCTCTATATGAATGCATCAAAAGAATACAGAGAAAGGGAAAACAGAATACAGAAGGCCAACAACATAAAATACAAAACAGCACCATTATTGAGGAATCACAATATCAACAGGCATGCATTTAAAGCAGCTGACAAAAGTGCTATTCGTGCCAACTTCGTGCTATAAATGCCAGACATGGACAATCTTAGAAAAAATAAATGTAAAATTGCAACCTGTGAGATGAGATGCAAACAAAAACAAAAATTGTGGTGGAGACACTGAGTCTCCAATGAAGGACTAACAACAATGGTAGGCTCAGTACTGGCAAATGATTTCACAATCAAAGAATCAATACTGAACTTTACAAGTAGACACAAATCAAATGGTTTGGCCATGTAACAAATTGGCATCAGATAGGGCACCACAAAGAGCAATGTTATTCATATACAATGGTAAAGACCCAGAGGTCGTCCACACAGAATATGGACCGCAGAAGTATCAGAGACACTGAAAGGTTCTTTATATGAAGCGAACAGAAGGGACCATTCAAGAGAAATGGAACAAAGAATGCTGTTCACAATGTTCCAGCATGTGATCCTGTCAGTGATAGATTATGGACTTGGAATGTTTACCATATCAAAGTGTCAGGTGATGAACATTGAACACATACAGAAGGAAGCCATGCGGGTAATTCTGGGATGTACAAGAGACACCCGGGAAGTATATATGCGATATATACTTGCACTGCCTACTATTGCAGGTAGGCTCAAAGTTCTGCAAGCAAAGTCATATCTCAGAATAGCTGCAGACAGGAAGTGCCTTATGCATGAAGCCCTAGGTACAGCTAATGGTCACAGACTGAAAAGAGAAAGATCTTGGATGGCGCAAGCTGAAGACACAATTAGACATGTGTGCATGCTTGATAAATTTGGGCGAGAAGAGAAGTGGGTCAAAGTGTCCGAGGCAAAAATTAGACTTGTGTAGGGTTCTAATAACTTTAGATCGTGAGTGCAGGGACTGGCCAGCTGGTGCTGCAGTATCAGAAGTTCAACAAATGATTAATGACAATTCCCGCCTAAGTGATGTCATTGTGTGTACAGATGGCTCTGTGTTGAGGGGCCGACGATGTGCATGGGGGTTCATAATAGTAACTTAGTGCAGCAAAGCCTGGCATTCGAAATCATGTCTAGTCTGAGAATGGAAGTGGAGGTAGTCAATGCTGCCTTTCACTGGATTGAGAATCAGCTGTACGTGTTGTAATTGTAACTGACTCACAGGGTATGTTGAGAAAGGTGGAGACGGCATGCTCCGTGCAGTGGCAAGCATCACTTCAGAGGTTCCGGGTAGTGTCCTTTGGATATTTTCTCCAGGTCATGCTGGTGTGTTGGAAACGAGCAGGCAGACAGACTGGCTGGTTCTGCACCACTTGCTAGTAAACCGATGTATGACAAATTAGATTTTGTGAGGGTCCATAAGTAGCGAGTAAACAGAGTGGAGGCAAAAATAGATCATTATGGTCTGAGGAGAATGGCGCTGCGGAGAGTTACCAGGGGATCTGGCCAACGCTCGACACTCAAGGGAAAGGTGAGATGGATGTACAATCAGACAGTTACTGGTACCATTGGAATTGGAACTATTAGTTGCTGCAGAGGATGGGGACGAAGCGCTTATGGGAGTGTCCAGAGTGCTATGATGTCGACTCCTAATTCAAAATTCAACATTCGAGGCTGTGGATAGAAATGACTACCGACACCACACGGCATGGACTATAAGAAGAAGCCCCATATACTCAATACGCCACTGGTATGAAATAGTTCTTTTATTAACTGGTAACACTGTCTGTCCAAATGGTAGATAAAACTTAAAGAAATGTTTACAAACCTGTGAAATGGTTAGTCCCTGGACACGAACATAATGGTTCAGTAATCTTTGGCCCGTGTCTTTGGCCATTGCAAATAAGTCGGTGGCAGCTGTCACAGATGTTCTATCTTCTACCATGAACTGTTCCTCCGCCAGGGACAGCTGTGTTCAGAAACACAGGACATATTAAACTTGTTAAACTTTTTGGTTTTGTTTTTTTGGTTTTTTATGTTTTTGCTGTCCTCACAATGGAAGTGGCTACAGTGGACATGAGCCTCTACTGCCTTTTGAAATATTATGTGATAAGGAGCCAAATTCTTCCACGGTGTGATTCTTGAAGCTACAAGAATTATTTTTTATTTTTCTTTTAACTGCTCAACATGGAAACTAAGCTCTTGTACATTATAGTTGCAGCAAAGCATAAACTGTGGTTTATTAAGTTAGTTGCGTATCCTTTACAGGACGTTGCAGAACCGACCCCAGCATGTTTTGGCCGTTTTGGTTTTTCTAGACAAATTTTACGTTCAGTATTTGCCATTGCTTTCTGAACATCAGGTCTTGGTACCACTGTTGAAACCAATGCAAAACAAACCGTCCGCAGCTGAGACCAAACCCAGCACCCCGGCATTACAAAGCGTGTTCACAATGCCTAAGCAACAGATGAGTAATTCATGTAAATATAAGGTAAAGTCGGAAGATGTGAACCAGGGTCATTGCATACGGTTATAAACCATTAATGCTCTGCCACCTGTACGGACAGCTGATAAGAAACTGTCCGCCTGTGTTGCCATCCGCACGCAACTCCGTAGCTACAGCCACATTCCTCCATTTACCCCAGAGTGTCAACTCTGTTACCCATTACTTAGAGGCTGAGTGAACTCCGGGAACCACCCGGTTTCGAACAGCGGATGTGGGCTGCAGCAAGTCGCAGCTGGATTTGACAAAGAGTTTCCTATCGAGTGCGCTAAACATGACTGTGCAAGTAACAAACAAAGAAATAATCCAAATACACTTTTACTCTAAAATACATAAGTTTTCTAATGTTCTACAAATAATAGTCTTCATGATCATGTAAAGTGTCAGTGTTAGATGTGTCCACGTTTTTACAACACTTTATTGGCATAATCCCTAATCATGGATGGCATTGTACAGGCAGTAGTTATACATGTGTGTTCCTATTGAGATTGACCCAGCCAAAATGGGTATTAGGACATTTTAAAGCTGGTGTGATATCAATCACGTCACCAATCAAGTGCTCAATATTCTATTAAATTTTAGACTAGCATAATACACTCAATATGTATCGAGGCAAGAAATTAGTTTATTTATTTTTGTTGTTGTTTTTGTTGCTCACCAGATAAGAAATGGCTGCATTTTCTAGGTCAATACAAAACCTGGACAGGATCAGGAGCAAGGCAGGTGGGCTTGTGGTTTTATCACCTGGAACTTCACAGAAATCCTGCATAAATGGACAACAGTGCAGTAATTTGAATGAGAAATGTTTCAAAACATAAAATTAAATACAATCAAATTAACCCTTTCGCTGCTACGTTCCCGGAAAAAGTTGTCCTCCCTGTGCTAAGCAATGTGAAAAAAAAAGTCTCTGCTGTGCGCAATACTTTTCTATCCTCTAAACGCAAAAGATGCGTCCGCGGTGAGGGCTATGTTTTGTACACCTAAAAAATTTTACCCTGGGGAGTTGTGTGGTTGGTACGAGTGGTGACAAGTCAGAGGCACGATGGTGCCCCACAAACTTGACTACGGAGCTATCATCACCCTTCGGGGGGAGGGGGGGGATAATAGGAGGAACTGTTCCCAGTCCGTATTTCAAAATTTGATTGACGAACCTACCACGGCTGCCACTTTAATCATATTTACTTGTAGTCACCATGTTATTACATACCAAAATAATTAAAAAAAATAATCATAATAATACTCAAGTCGTCCGTTGCTGAAAAGTAGCAGGAACTCAAAGGAAAATTTACAATTAAAAAAAAAAAAAAAAAAAATTCGGGGGTTGAACACACGATCCTCCGATTCTAAGGCGAACGTGATACCAATTACACTATGCTACCGCTTGACGCATTGCGCTGTGTAAATGATCATAATGAATGATGTACGCAAACTATCAATAATCTGTCTAAGTTTGTAGTCTATCGCCGCCTGCATGAGCACTGTTGTCTAAGAAATGTTTGAGATTCTCAACAATAGTAAAAATATGTCCCTCGACATTATTTTACGGGAGTTTTTAGCAAACAGTCTTTGCTCAAGTATTCTATTTTGAGTTTCTTTGTTCTAAGCATTAGCAGACAGACAGAAAAAAAATTAGTTCGTCCGAATCTGTGTCTGTCCATCAGGAAAGACGAGAAATTTTAGTGACTTAACTGTTTGAATTTACAGTAGCAGAAATACAGATAGAGCTGGAGTCATCAAAATCATGCACTACTGGTTTCAAATCATCGGTTCATCAAGATAACTGATCAATTTATTGCCGTTTTGGTGGCGCTTCATTGTCGCTGCTCTCTGATTCCGACGATGAGGACGTCGGACAGGCAAACAGCTTTTTTTGGACACGCCGGTTTCAGCAGTCGATACTGATGGCCTAGTCAAATCTTCTTGTTCACTGTCAGAAGTACACATTTCAAAGTCATCGTCGCTATCACTTTTCACAGAAACTCCATCAATTCTTCATCAACTTTAACAAGTTTCTTGCCATTTTGTACTAAGTGTAGAATAATCCAAAAGCACAAATATATATCAGGGCACAAAATACACAGATCACCGAACACGCTGTCACGGTAAACAAAGCAACGGGATAACGCAAAATGCAGAAAACACACCTTAAACACGCCTAAAAGTACGTGCCAGTGCTTTTAATCATATGTAAATGGGTCAGTTTAATCTAAATATAGCTAATGTATATTGCCCTTCAGCCAATAAAATACGAGGTAACAGAAATCTGTAAGAAAAGTCCAAAAACGGCTTAGGACGTCCATAGCACTGGGGGTCAAGAAAAAAAATAACGTCCAAAGACGGGCGTAGCAGCGTACGGGAAATCGGGAAAAGACGTCCATAGCAGCGAAAGGGTTAAGATGGAATACCTTAAAATGTGTATTATATCATCATTTATCAAATGTCATCAACAACATTATCAACTTCCACTTATCCATTAAGCAATGTTAGAATGAAAAGTTTGTGATCCATTGCTTGATGGGTAGCAATGGTTATTGTTATTCTGTGTCAATGGAGAAGGTCTTTAATTTCATCAATCCTTTTTCTCCGAAGGTGACCTCTTGTTGCATATTTTATCTTTTTATGTGTAGTGTTGGTAGTTTTTCTGGCTGCATTCTAATGAGATCATGAAACCATTTGATCTTCTGTTTCTCAATCAATCTGGCGCATAGTTTTTTTCCCCACACTCTGTCCAAAAATATGATTTCTCACTTTGCCTCAGATAATTAAGTTGACAGCTTTTCTCAGGCATCTCATTTCACATGTGTTAATTTTACATAGGTTAGCCTCTGACAATGTCCAAGTTTGACACTGGTAGCACATTGTTAGTATGAAGATGCTTTTTATAATCTGTTTTCCTGTTGTCTTTTTTATATTTTGATGTCTTGATAATGGTATCAATTGGTATAGACGTACAAATGCTTATTGGCATCTTGTTTCTATTTCCTTTTATATTACCCTATCCTCTGAGAATATACTATCCAATGTCAGTAAAAGGAATAATAACGGATAATGTTAAAAATGGTACCAAGGCAGATAAAGGCCATAGGAATGTGAAGTGTTAGGGCTTCACATATTTCAAGCTACTTCTTCTATTGCTACAACTTCTTCTTCTTATGCATTCACCCTTAAAAGGGTAGTTGATATGTTGTGTTGTGGTTTAAAGCTAAAATGTGATCTTTCACTCTAACACATCAGCAAACTAATTATAAGGTCTTATAAGTTGTGAGTCGAACTGATTTAAGACAAATATAAATTTTTTATATAAATTATTTTCATTCAAACAAGTTACAAATAATATGTACACAAAATACAAACATTCAATCTATGTACACAGTTACTATACATAATGTAAAAATACACAGTATGTACTCTAGTGCATCAGACCCTACCAATGTGGTTACCTTTCTTTATTTACTATTTTCATTTATTTATTTTCGGTGGTTGTAAGTGCAGACAGTCTTAAGTTGAGCAGAAATTGTAGATGTCTTTTACAATATGCTTGATAGAAGCAATAAGTATATCCTTTTTTCCATCTTATCCTTTTCAGTCTACTGCTACAACTAATACTAATTAATATACACTACTATTAAAATTGCTACAGCTAAAAGCAATCTTATAATCTGAGCAAGTTTGGAATCAACAACAAAAGAAAACATAAGATAAAATCTTACATTGCATACAGTACACACGTGTTTTACAAAGGCAACCACAAGACCTTCTCTGACATCTTGGCTACAGAATGGTCCACGGAAATATGGCTTCATTGCAAAAGTAATGTCTGGGGCAATAAAAGCCTGAAATAAAATAATACAAAAATTCATCATGTCTCTTTCTGGGAAGTCACCGTAAAGTAGCAGCTAGACACTTGCCTGTGGATCGAATGGTCATGGCTTCGGGTCCTGAAGGAGCCGGACTTTTCCAAAAATGATCTTGGCTTCAGGTTGATCCAGACTTGTGTGGGTTCCAGGTGCAGCCCTGGGAAGAAAGGTGACCTGCGTGATGCTTTCCAAATCACCCAACAAGTGCCGATTGGTCTTTTTAATACAGGTCGAGCCCTATATTCCTAATACACCTAAAGGTGTGGAAAAGGGTCCTTTACTTATGTCTAATTCTATTTAAACAAAACAGCCATGCAATAAACAGACTATATCTCTGGGTGATCTTGGCAGAGTAGGACAATGAAGCTCCATCCTATAAGTGATCTGAGTGCTCTTGGTTAGACTTGCAACACCATCACCATCACTGTGGTATATAACAGGGCTAACATATTAATCAAGTCTGAATGTGAGAAAATGGGTCACAAGTCTAAGAGACAACTCTAGACCTAAAGGCAAAACAGGTCAAATATGAATGAATCATCATCAATCAGCAAGTCCTTTACAGAACGTCGCTATCTTCACGGCACGCCTGAAAGTATCCTTTTTCCTAGCCGGCTCTCCAGCCACATGTGCTTATATGAATGAATAGGCTAAGGAAATTAAGCGAAGCAGTAAAATCTTTTTATCTATTTCTGCTCTGTTAATCAGCATTAAGTTAGGAAGAGATATGTGATTAAAATCTATTGTATGTGTTTCGTACACAGTAGCATTCATAGCCTTGGTAATTCTATCAATCTGTCTGTCTGATGCTGAGATGACCTCTTGAATAAGTGCTAGAGATCTTTGTGGGGTAATGTCTTGTTACAGGACCCAGACATGTTGTTAAACTCTAAGACAGTCAAACAGTTATGTTGTACAACTTATTTCATTGTTGCATTGTCTCTGTCCTTGTCTATTCCCCTTAATTTTAAGTCATCAATGTGTTCATGTTGTGTCTATTGCATACATTTTGTTCTTCTCTCTTTTGTTGTTAAGTGTCCAAGTCCTCTTCTTTTTATAGTGTTCACCAGCTGTAAACTCCCACAGAACACTCTGGTGGTTCATCCACTTCTGGACTTTGGTCTTATTCCAGTTTAATTTTGCATGCATGTCCATTTTACAGATTTGGATTACTTTTATGCATGCTGTTGGTTTTTTACCTCCCAGGCAGATGCACTCCGTCTTCAAAGGAAGCACCCTTAATTAGTCGCTTTTTACTATATGTTTGTTAGGTCAATTTATTTTATTTTGTTTTTAAACCTGCAATGGGGCCCCGGAACCCAAACAGATAGTGTCCAAGTCTGACATGAGAGCATAATATTGACACTGTATTGCTTAGGCCCTGCGAATGCGTTTCCTAATGATGAGGTGCCAGGTTCGATCCCAGCTCTGGCAATTTGGCAGCAGAACATCTTGCGTTGGTTTTGACAATGATACTGAGAGCTGGCCGTGCAGAAAGCAATGGCAAACTACTGAATGTAAAATTTGCTTAGAAAAAACACAACAACCAAAAAATAATGCTAGGGTTGGCTCTGCAACGACCTGTTAAGGATACACAACTAACTTTTTAACAGTATTGAACATGCTCTTTTTGTGTCAATAGTCAGATGTTAGTTCCCAATACAGTCACTGCTTAATCATGTGACTATTTGTGCTGAATCTATATATATTCAAAATGGTATCCCCCAGTGCAGCAAATGCCATCAGGTAACTCATGCCACTGCATTTTATTCTTTGTCTCCATGTGGTGCAGAGGGAAGTGACCAGGGAATGTGGCCGATACTTAATACTCATAGGTAAGACAAGATCAACTCAGTGGAACTCTGTTCTGGTACTGAAGATGTGGATACGGGAAGTTCTCAATGATGTCTCATTGGCACTCAACTCAACTCTGTGTGTGGGGTTTTTTTTTTCCCTCCTCTATTTCTCTACCGTATTAAAGAGAAAAGGTTGGTTTTACCAAAAAACTATTTTTTAAAAACAATAACAGATGAAGAAATAAAACTAAACCATGTGAAGCACACAGTAGTTATATTTATGTGAACGTGCTAACCTGTAGGTTCCCTAAAACTGACTTGAATTGTTCCACTACGGAACTTTGCATATTAGCCAATAGATCAGCCAATCTAGTTCCATGATCCTGCTTCCCTGCTATCCGTGGTGCAGCCAGACTTTGTCTGATGTCTGTCAAACAATCTGGTGAATAGAAAACAGACATAAAAGCTGCTACTGCTAGTATTCCTACTGTATTATTTCAGTAATCTAATTTCTTAATGAGTAGAGAACTTCCTTTTAAAATCGCTGCTACTGTTAGTATTCCTACTGTATTATTTCAGTAATCCAATTTCTTAATGAGTAGCAAAACTTTTTAAAAATGCTGCTATAAATGAATGAATCAATCAATCAAGAACTGACATTTATGCACTCAGGACAGTCCCACATGGGCTCCGTTTCCTTCCTCAGTAACCAACAAAGAGTCGATCGGCTAATAGCATCAGCTGCAACCTGATTAAGTCCTTATATGTTTTCCCTCAGTGTTGAATATATTTTATACCTGCTGCTTATATTCCACATTTTCCTTAGAATTTCAAATGTATTTAACTTTCATTCCATATGTCTAGTGGTTCTCCAACTTTCACTGACATATGTTAAAACTGAAATAACATTCGAATAGAAAATAGGTAACTTGGCTATAAAACTGTACAATTTAAAAGTGCCATATATTGTACAGGTTTCTAAAAGCTGATGCCTTGCCAATATGAGTCATAATTTCTGTCTGCATTTCCTTGACTATCAAAAATAAGTAACTGATCTGTTACTATAATCCTTTTGTCTCTGGTGTCACATCTGCTTGATCTGCTTTTGGTGCCTTCAATATATTTGTTATTTCACAATTTATTTGTAGTCCAACTTTTGATGCTATATTTGCTAAATCATCTTTTTTTCTGTGCATGTAACTGTTGTTTTTATTTAGCAGAACATTAACTTAGCAAAACTGACATCTTCCAACTTTTTGTTCTACACTCAGTCAATGCTGTTGTTTGCAACACAACATTTTTTCATCACACAGCCAATGGTTATGCCAAAAATAGGGGAGATAAATGCATGCCTGCTTCACTCTAGTTTAAACTGCAAACCAATGACTCAAACCATAATCTGTGTGCACTGCACAGTCTGAACTTTCATATATTGCTTACAAATATTCATTCTTTTCATCTGTATGTGATTATCTGTCCAGCTGATGCAAATTCTCAGAAAAGTAAACATACTATTTAAGGTTTCTATTTCGTCTATTTTAACGTTTGTGTGTTTTTGTTGTTGTTGCAACATTAGGTAATTTCATAAAACTTGTTACGTAAGATCCCTCTGTGTGCTCGGGGACCCTATTTTAGGAGAAAAAATAACATACCCATTTCCACCTAAAAAAATATATCATAAAAATCAACTAATTCGGAATCTGCTAACACTGGATATGTCGTGGACTATCTCCCACTCACTAAGAAAGAAAATAGTGGCTTTTGAGCTGAAATGCTATAGAAAGATTCTAAGAATACCATGGACAAAGAAGAGAATAATACTGACATTTTAAAAGATTTAAATATCAAGGAAGATTGGTTAATAAACAGCATCTTGTCTCGGAAGCTGAGATATTCTGATCATATCAAGCGCCATGGAGAACAGGAAAAATAAAAGCAGAAGGCATGGTGCCAGGAAGAAGGGGCAGGAGTCGACCAACGCGAAGATGGGCACAGGATTTAAGTGACTCCTTGAATATGAAAGTACATGAGGCGGGACAGCTGGCAAGAGAGCAAGTTATTTTCAAGCAGACCGTGATGACAGCGACGTTTTGCAAAGGATCAGCTATATGATAATGATAATGAATGTGATGAGAGTTGAGTTAAGGATGGATATATTCATCAATCCGAAATAGCATTTATCTATGAGAGATATCCATCATACCACACACTGAAGGATTTAAACGTAATAAAGCATAAATAAGTGCCAAACTCTTACCAGCAAAATGCTGCTTGAGTGACTTCAAGTAATGTACAACCCGGTCCTTGGCACCCTTGGAGACAATCTCTGTGCCAGCCCTGTGGAGTTAACAACAAAATTACTATGATACACTTAGCCACTGTAAAACTAAAGTAAAGGATCTTTCCCCACGCCTTCAGGTGTACTGGGCATACAGGGCTAGATCAATATTGTATAGACCAGGACTTTACCTGGTACCTGTTTATGGCTGGGTCGACCTGGGAGCTAAGGTTATTTAAAGAAGAAAAAACAAGTCTGGCTCTGTCAGGATCTGAACCCAAGACCTTTGGATCCGCAGGCGAGCATCTAGCTGCTACACTACAGCGTCTGCCGTACTTAGTCACTGTACACAAATAAATTTACTATCATTGAGATCAGGGGATCTGTTTAGGAGTGAAGTTATGATAATCTGAACAAAACTTTTGATTTATTTATTCTGTTAGCCAATATCTGCTTTTTTTTTTTTTTAATGCTGTCATTATAAATTAAAACATCTAAGTATATATGCTGTGACTTTTTTAACATTGTACAGACTCAAAACAAAGTTGTACTAGCCCATATTTACAATACAAATAATTGGACTTAAGCTCTCTTTCCACACTTTGAGTTATACTAATTGTAAAGTGCTGACTCTATCCGTTTTTAATCAACCAATCAGAATTACATGGGTGATTTGGTTAATTTCACACTGGCCACTTTTACTTCCCATAACCTTTCCTGCTGCTCATTTTAGGTTGGCCTTGGATTCCCGAGAACAACCGTATACATGTAACTGGTGACAGCTCTCTCTTGGCATGTAGTGCTCTAAATAAAAAATCCCCAATGAGACTCAACATAATCTTTACCACAGATGGCTGCATGCTAAACATCTTTGATTTCAGTGAGGAGAGATGGTATCATTTCTTGCTTGCTCTCTTTGTTTCTAGCTCATGGCCAACAATGACATGACAGGACAAATACAGAAGAAACAACGTGTTAATCCTAAACCAGCTTCACAATGCTAGAAAACTAACCTAGAAAAGTCTGTGTCTGGTAGCAGTTTATTCATGGCCTGTAACCTCCTATGGAAGCGATCCAAAGCTCGCACCAGGATAGTGTTATCTCCTGTCTCTTTCTGCAATATAGTATACATTGCTCAACTACAATATATGCATCAGGATGTGATACAACTAATCATGATACAATATTAGATAGATGTATATCCCACACAATTTTATCATACATTTTTACGATAATGATAGTGCAACATTTTTTGGGGTAAGATTAGCTATCTAATCCTGCGGAAAACTTTAGCTGCAAAATGCAGCTATTCGTGAACAAGCCTATAAAAAGTTGAGCACAAGGTGGTTAAGGATCTATGCTCCACCGGGAAATAAAGACAACAAAAAGGACAGAGGAAAAGAAAAAGAAATCTTCCGCTTTTTCTTTACATTCGCCAACTGTAAACTTTGGCAGAAAGTTCTAGTTATTGATCCACTTATGGACTTTTGGTCTTGTTCCAGATCTGGCTAATCTGTGTGCAGACTGTTGGTTCCTATTCTCTTAAGCAGATGCAGAGACTTTGAAGGAAATACTACTTATTAGTAGTCTTTTTCTACATGCTTGTTAGGGGGTAGTAGGTCTATTTTTATTTCCTCCCAAAATAGGAACCTGGAAGCCATACAGGGAAAGAAGAAATCAAAGACAAAGGAGCAGCAGGAGGCAATGAAAAAGAAAAAGGAATTCACTTGTCACTGGTATTATAAATTTATAAATGCAAACATGTCATTCATCATGCCCTTTAACATCTGATAAAGTCAAAGTGTCTGTCTCGCAACATCAAGATCAAAATATATATAAAACGTTGAAGACCAAGCACAGCTAAAAGAGATGAAGCTTTTTTTACAGGTTTTCAAAAACAGAGTATAACAACGAATCTTTGGACCCATCAAAGATGGGCTATCCTCCGACTAACAGTCGGTAAAGATGGCGGCTGCAAAATATCCTTTCGAGCCACAGTCACGTGTCAATTGCGCACTAGCGGTCACGAGCACACAGTGGCTGCTGCTCGTGGTTCCTAGCAATATAATTTAGCCCCATTCCACGCCGCTTACGCGGCGTGGGGGACATGTGGCAGTGGCGGTAGTCGCCGGCGCAATTGACACGTGACTGTGGCTCAAATAGATATTTTGCAGCCGCCATCTTTACCGACCGTTAGTTGTAGGATAGCCCAAAGATGCAAACAGCGGTGAATGGAGAGTGAAAAGCAACAACAAAATTCATAATATGTTTAAAACACTACTGATCACTGGCATCATGAGATTCAATAGATTGAAATGGTTGGGGCATATTGAAAGAATGTCAGATGACAGAGGTAAAAACTGTATACCCGAGGGAGATAAATGTATACCCGAGGAAGATGAATGGTCGTAGACCACAAGGCAGACCAAGAAGGCGATGGAGAGATAATATCCAATCAGACCTGCAAACACTTGGTGTCATCAATTGGAAAGAGAAGGCCACCCAGAGAGATGAATGGAGGCGGGTGATATATGTAGCAATAAACCTCAAGGGCTCGGAATGCTGAAGAAGAAGAAGAACATGTCATTCATGACCAGCAACGGCACTGAGTACTTACTTCCAGCTGAACCCTCTGCCTCACAGAACTAAAGTACTGCTCCATCAGATCGTTGACAAAGACCACCAACTTCCTCAGTGCAACTGTGTCCAAAGACTCGCTGTGAAATAAAAAGTCCACACATTAAGTAAAGGACACATCAAGTAAAGTGAGCTCTCTTACATGCTAATATGGCATACCACATACCTGTGCAGATCACAGGAGACGGAGAACATAACTGCTGAGTCAGTTAGCAAAGCATCTGATAATAATGACATAGCAATATTAAAATGCTCTTTAAGCCTCCCCCCCCCCCCCAACTGTTACCTAGATGAAAACAAAACGTATGGGGAATCTATAGAGAATTAAGGTCAGTTTTTTTTTCTTTCTTAAATTCTGCAAGGTGCAGATTTGAACATCAGCTAATTTATGTTTTTATATTGTGTGCATTCATGCAATAAGAAGTTCAGTTTCAATAATATCTTTAATTAGATTTCATTTATATTACAACAGATCAAGAAAATGTAGAAAAGTATTAAAATCATTAATTTTGAAGAAAATGAAACGAAACTGCTCAAAATACAATAATGATTAATTATTATGGCAATGTTTTTTAGAAATCTAATCTAATAACTACAGACATTTCAACAGTCCAATCATGTTCAGGAAAAGAATTTAACAATAACACAAAAATTAAAATTAAATGTGCATAAACACTATAACTAGAAGACAATAGGTGAATAATGAAATATATTACTGCAAATTTATATTAATCACTTCCCTGTCTCTTTACAAATACTTGACAATCAAAGAAGAATAAGAAACAAGAAATCTTCCACTGAACTTACTCAGCCTGTGGCCTGTTCATGAACATATCATTATACGATGCTATCACCAGACACATATTGCTGAGGAATCCATTACAACCGGAATCAACAAACTCAAGGACATCCTGAAACAGAAACAAAGATCACACTTTTGGAGCTGAGACTTCTGATGTAAAACTTTTTCTTCCTCTTCTCTACTTCTTTCTCAGATATCTAATCTAGATTGAGGTTTGAGGTTTGAACAACGGATCAACATCATGGCACACGGGTAGAAACCCATAAGTGCTCTGTTCTTCTTCTAACTCAAGTCTGACTCTGAAAAAGCTCAGCACAGTGCACAGGCTCTGTAACACCAGCAAGGATCCTGCAATACTTTGGGTAGATATTTAACTCCAAATTTTGTCCAGGCAGCGCCATTAGGCTACTCTCTTCTTTTTCCAACTGCTAAGGAATTTTTTTACGTGTGCAACAATACACCCGGGCGTCTAATCTCACTACCCAGAGACCAGGAGGAATTATTAGAAGTCCAAGTCTATGTGAAAAAATCCCATCACTTACCGGGAATTGAACCCAGAACCTTTAGCACTCGAGGCAAACTCCATGCCTCGTGACCACCAGCCCCCACATATCTAATCTAGAATCAGATATAAACTTACTGTTAGTTCTAAAAGTAACACATGTCTGCCAAATTACCTGTTTTCTACTGATTACAACAATGCAGAGCCACATCTGGAATCTCAAATGTGTACACACGATTTTTTTTTAAGGTTGTTGCATTGTCACTTCAGGCGGAAGATATTTACAAAATAACATTTGAAAAAAACTGTAAAATAACTAGACAGACTATAATTCACACAAAAAAATAGAAGTTAGCTATACAGAATACAATTTAAATAACTATAAAAACTAGTTAAGAATTATCATCATCAGTATCTGCTGAGAAGGTGCTGAAAAGAGAAGTAATGGCTGTTTACTCAAGCAGTTACCATGCAGTGCACAGGCTAGGTTTGTACTTCAATTTTCACCTAAAATTATCATTTCCCACACTAGCAATCCACATGACACAAAGTGTGAAAGTACCAATCAAACTCTTAATAACAACAAATAAACAGAAATTCTAAAATGACTACCATAGTAGAAATCAAACAAATTATGTATTTTATCAAGCTAAATCTAACTAGAACATGTTTTAACATTACACCATCTCATCTTCATGTAACAAGTCCTTTGCAGAATGATGATCTCACCATGGTCTGCCTGAAAGAAACTCCATCTATCAACAGCTCCAGTTCCAGTTTGTTTGAAAAAAAAAAAAAGTTCTTGTCACCCTAACCAGCTCCAATAGTGAGCAGCGGTTATTTTGGGACTGCGTTTATTTGTTTGGAATTTCCAATAATTTTTTTTCAATTGTGACGAACTACGTCTAGTAGTGGTTTCCTTGTTTGTTTCTGCGATGTTGGCCGTGATTGGGAGTGGAAGTTTACTAGTCCTGAGAAGGACTAGTAAAGTTTGCCGGGGCGGCCTCGTACGGGTGGGAGGGTTATTGACATTATGACAGCCCATCTGCACTTTCCTATTTAAAGTGTCACTTAGTTCCTGTGCCCATCTTCATGCTGCCATGCCTTCTGCTATAATTGATATGGCCAAAATATTATTACAGTACCTACTGAAAATATCTGAAGCTGAAATATTTTGGTCATATAAAGCACCAAGATGGATTGGAAAACATAATAGCAGAAGGCATGGTACCAGATGGGGACAGGATATCAACAAACTAAATGCCAAGCACTACTATCTTGTGCCACCTTCTGCAGCTCCTTCCATATCCTGCCAGTTGTATTTAACCCTGTTTCTATGTCTCTTCTCTGTGTGTGCTTTTAGGCATACCTGTATGTCTGTTGCTTTCTGGGTATTTTCTGGTTATAACATCTATAACAGTATTTCTCAATGAGAGCCATATCAACCACCTGTATCTTTTTCACCCAGCTCTTTATTCACAATGGCAAACTACTGGACATAAAGAGCATAAAAAAACCACACAACAGCCAGGGGCTGTCCTTAGGGACTCTATACATGTTAAAATCAAGTATACATGATACAACTTTACAATAACTTACCATGCCAGGGTTCATGTAAGCTTGTGAGGGCCTCTGTTCTTCACTGGGACTAAGTTCACCAGAGTAGAGTTTCATCTGCCTTTGCAGCTCTCCCAAATCCTCGTCCAACTTATGTCTGGCACTGATAAAATAACATTGTAAACATTAGGACAGCACACAGAAGGTACACATGACAGCACACAGATAGTAAACATTATGACAGCACACAGAAAGTATACACTGTAACAGCACACAGAAAGTACACATTATGACAGCACACAGAAAGTACAAATTATGACAGCACACAGACAGTATAAATTATGATAGCACACAGAAAGTATACACTGTAACAGCACACAGAAAGTACACATTATGACAGCACACAGAAAGTACAAATTATGACAGCACACAGAAAGTATAAATTATGACAGCACACAGTAACTACAAATTATGGCAGCACAGAAAATACGCACTATGAAAGCACACATTATGACAGCCTATAGAGAGTACACATTATGACAACACAAAGAGAGTACACATTATGATAGCACATTTAGAATACACATTCTGATGGCAAACAGAGAGTACACATTATGACAGCACAGAAAGTACACATTATGACAGTGCAATAAGTACACATTATGACAGTGCTATAAGTACACATTATGACAGCAAATAAAAAATATACATTACGATGAATTTAAAAAATAGACATTATGACATTACACAAAAATTACACATTATGACAGCACACAGAAAGTATAAATTATGACAGCACACAGAAAGTATACACTGTAACAGCACACAGAAAGTACACATTATGACAGCACACAGAGAGTACACATTATGACAACACAGAAAGTACACATTTTGACTGCAAATAAAAAGTATACATTATGACAAATTAAAAATATACATTATGACAGCACACAAAAAGTACACATTATGACAGCACATAGAAAGAATACATAATGACAGCATATAGAGAGTACTTATTATGACAGCAAATGAAAGGTACAAATTATGACAGCACATAGAAAGTACACATTATGACAGCACACTGAAAGTACAAATTATGACAGCAAACAGAAATTGTTTACTGTAACAGCACATAGAAAGTACATATTATGACAGTACACAGAAAGTACAAATTATAACAGTACACAGAAAGTACAAATTATGACAGTAAACAGAAAGTACAAATTATGACAGCACACAGAAAGTATATACTGTAACAGCACATAGAAAGTACACATTATGACAGCACATAACGGCTATATAGTAAGTTTGTTTACAAAAACTTACAAGCTATTTATAAATTTGAAATAGGCGGACTACAAGAAAAAAATGATGAATTAGAAGAGAGGAGCATTTGGGGTGGTGATGGGTATCAGAGGCAAGGAATATCACTACTAGTATTAACGAAATGTAATAAATTATCAAACTAAAACAATTTCAAAACAGTATAGTTAGAAACGTCTTTTCTGCCATTTATCCCCACAACGGAGCATAGGCCCTCAACCAACTCATTCCAAGTCGTCCTATCCTTTTTAATTGCAAACAGCTCACCCATGTTTCTTTTTCATGGATAGGTGGTTTTTGTGACGATTGTTTTAGTTTGGTATTGGTTTTTTTTTCTCTGGGGGAATACCTGTAACACATGGGGTAGTTGCAATGCATCATCATCATTCTTTGTGTGCCGTTAGACATCACATAGGGCTCACATTTGATTCTTCCACTCCCCTCTATTGCATGCAACTCTCTTGATTTCCGACATGTTCAGCCCAGTATTATTAGCCTCTGGTAATAATGTTCTTATTAATATATCCCTTGGACGTCCTCTTTTTCTCCCACCATTTGTTTCCCATTTCAGTGCTTTTTTTGGTGTGTAATTCTTTGCTCATTTCGTCTCAGAGTGTGCCTAATATATTTCCACCTTCTTTGCCTTATTGCAGTTAATACAAGTATTTGTCCAGACATTTCTCGGATCTCTTCTTACAATACTGAGTAAAGGTTTGAAAGATAATAAAAATACACATAAATGCTGAGAGAAACACACACACACACAAAAACCTGATCAAGCTCATCAGGAGGATTAACATCAGGAAATTAAACTTACTGAGAAAGAAATTCATCACAAAGGGACTCCGCCGGTTCTCCAAGTTGCAGCAACAAATCTACACATTCTGTTAACTGCTTGGCTGTAGACTGCAAGATATAAAACACATATACAAATTATTCCCAAACTGCCAAACTATGAAACATTAGGTCATGCACCCACCACGTCCCACATTTAACCCTTTTATTCTGAGAAACCGAAAAATGACACTTCTAGTCCGGTACAATTTCCCACAAATGTCACTTTTTTAACTTATTTACTCTTATTTACTTTATTTTTTTAAGCCACGCTGCCGTCAGTTTCTTGTAAGACTCAGTGATAGAGGTCACAGGGTCATGGCATGAGTCACCCAGTTAAAAGTTAGTTGCATATCCTTTACAGGATGTTGCAGAACCAACCCACAGCATTTTTTTTTGGTTGGCAGCTGTGTTTTTCTAGGCAAATTTTACGTTCAATTGTCTGCTTTCTAAATGGTCAGTTCTTGATACCACTGTCGAAACCAACGGAATACAGCCGGGATCAAACCCGGTATTATGAAATGTGTTGGCAAAGAATTTAAAATGTAAATACATACATTTAAAAAGAATTTATCAGTAACTGACCTGTTGTTGTTTTTATGTATTTGTTCTGGAATTCTTATCTGGCCGACACTTGATACTCAGGGGTAAGGCGAGACGGATATACAATCAGACGGTTACCATCGCAATTTAAACTCTTTGCTTGCTGCTGAAGATGGGGACAGAGCGCTTATAGGGGTGTCCCAAAGGCTGTGAATTCCTAAGGGGTCATGACCAAAATTTGTTTAAGAGGCAAAAGGCTTAAGGTTGGAGGCTAGCACCTGTGCTCCACAGAAAAAAAATTTCTTATTTGGTGGTTTGCAGATCCTTGGGAGTCAGTTCAACAAATTTAAGGGGTCCATGGTTTATAAATTACAATAAATTCTTCAATATGACTTTTATTAAGTATAGGGTCTCTAGCAGACTTTAAAAAATAAGAGGGTCAGCAGGTTTTTGCTAACTAGGATCCTATGCTCCAGAACATTCTACAAGGGGAATGTATTACTGCCTGGTTTTGTATGTCTGATAGCATGATTCTGAGAAAAAGTTATTTCTGCTACACATATTCAATCCAAGTTAATGGGCTTTTATCTATACATGAATAGGTATTTTTTCCTTAAAATTCTGCCAGGCTAGGTCACTGGCCACACAGGTTACAATTTGTAATTTCTAGGCATCCAACCTAACAACCAAAGATATCAAGGGCTAAGAAATTAGGCTAGACTTCAAACCTCAGTACCAAATATACCAAGGAAACATGGGATATCATTTTTAAATTGGTTTTTGTAACAATTTCCAGCCCTATCCTAGGATTCAAACCAGGTAGCTTGAGAGTTTTAGGTGGATACTGTACCCTGTCAGCCACATCTTTCTGACAGCCCTGTTCTAAGGCCAAGTTAACCTCAGCTCTGAAGCTATGGACCAATACACATTCAGCCAGACCAACCACCATACAACCACATACTACTATGGTTAGTAAAGGCCAGGTGGACTTAGTTATAGTATGATTGAGGTTTGTTATGAATAAGGGCTTATCCCCAACAGAGCTAAAATACAGAAAAAGAAAATATGTTTATTATCTACTATATCTAACACACATGTTAGTTAATAATTCTATCATACTCCACTGGGAGCTAAAAGTCAAACACAGGCACTCTTGTTATCGTCTTAAGAGAGAAGATGCTGGACTCTTTGACATCACAGCATAGAGAATCATATGTGTCAGAACTGACATGAGAGAGAAGGTGTGGATAGATATGACTAACAAACACCACATGGCATGGACTTCAAGAAAAAGAAGAAGAAATATAATGCACAGGGCATTTTAAGAACTCTTTAACACCTGATGTTCTCTAATGATGACTGACCTCTTTCTGGCGAAACCTGTCCATAAGTCGGCCTCGCAGATGTTTAATCATGATCTCACAGTCTGTGTGAATGCCTTGAAAACTGGGCATGTGCTCATACTGGTGCAAAACTCGCTGAGCCTTCGTGTAATATCTACACAGGAAACAAAATAATACTTTATTGATTTACCTATTACACTTTTTTAAATATATACAAAAAACACTTTCATGCTGGTGTAATGGAAAAAAAATATGAGCAACATTTATACATACAGATAAAAGACAAACATGCAGATAAACACAGATGTATAGATAAACATTCAATGAAACAAAACTTGTCACAATGTCATCACATTTTATGCTAATCCTTAAAAGTTCTGCACACGTAATGAGTAAATATGGGGAAAGAAAATGCTTTGCTCTCCTCTGCACTACAAATTTTATTTGTTACCAGCTAATCTGACAGCTGCTTGTTGTTTGTGATACAATTTTTTAATTATAAGTGGATCAAACTGCTTTGAATTGATTTTGACAGTCCAATTAGTGTCAACCATTTAGACGGCAATGGCAAACTACTGAATTTAAAACTGCCTCGTAAAATAAGCTCACAGCCAACAAATGCTAGGATGGATTTGCAACCTTCTGTAAAGGATATGTAATTAACTTCAACTATACAGAACAAAAATTCTATTGGAATCTACAGTAGAACCTCGCTTAACGAGCACCTCTCATAACGAGTAATTCGCATAACGAGCAAAACAAATTGTAAAAAAATGACTCGCTTAACGAGCGACGCTTTGCATAACGAGTGGCGAGGAAAGGGGAAGTTCTGGATTTTGCACATGTTACATCAATGTTTAGCACTCTTTCTAGAAGCATTGTCACTTGTGATCACACATTTTGTCAAACTTTTATTATATTGTGATATATGTACATGAATCCTCCAGGCCTACAAGATGACCTCCCTGATGAATTTAAGTTAATCAAGATCCAATTTCTGCCTCCCAACACCACTCCGTTACTCCAGCCCATAGACCAGGAAGTTATTTCTAACTTTAAGAAACTCTACACTAAAGCACTCTTCGAGCACTGTTTTCAGGTGACTGAAGGGACCAACCTCACTCAAAGAGTTTTGGAAAAAATCACTTCTACATCGTTGCCTGCCTCAAGATGACCGACAAGGCGGGGGAAGGGGGTTACCAAGAGAACCCTAACTTCTTCTTGGAGGAAGCTTTGGCCAGAAAGTGTTGTCGATTTGTGACTTTGAGGAGTTCAAGACAGTTCCTGTGGAAAATGTAGTCAACGAGATTGTGTATTTGGCCACTATCATGGGATTGTAGGTGGATAACAGAGATATCGAAGAGCTTGTGGAAGAGCACAGCCAAGAGCTGACCATCGAAGGGCTTATGGAGTTGTATTGTTTTTCACAGCAAGAAGTTTTGGAGGAAAGTTTGTTAGAGGAGGAGGATGAGAAGGTAACAGAAAAGCAACAATCTTCTGGCGAAATAAGAAAAATGCTGAAAGCATGGGAAACTGTTGCATCTTACACTGAGAAGCATCAACCTAACAAGGAAGTGGCTATGCGCGCAAATTTAATGATAATGCTGGGTCACATTTTTGCCAAATTTTGAAGCGTCGACAAAAAAAAATGTCTCTAGACATCTTTATAGTAAAAAAATAATTAGCTATGTATCATAATTATTTCGACTTTTTTTCTCCAATTTGAATTCGCATTCCATGTGGGTTCGTTCAGTGTTTGAAGAAAAGATTAAGATGATTCACTCTCCTTAAATATGTATATAATTTTCTTTGAATAAATGTTATAGTATAACTTTTACATAGCATTTTGTGAGTATTTTTTTCGACATGGAACGCATTACCGTATTTTACATTAATTTATATAAGAAAAATTGCTTCGCATAACGAGTGTTTCGCTTAACGAGTATGATTTTGGAACGAATTATGCTCGTTAAGCGAGGTTCCACTGTATTCTCTTTCATTTTGCAACTACATTTAATTATTTATTGACATATCATTGTGGATTCCAGGGCCCCAAAGAGGGGAAAACAAGAAAAGATCTGCTGTCTCCCCAAGTCTGAGTGCGTCTGCCCAAGCAACAAATAACAACCAACTGCACACAAATAGGTCAATAAAACAGATGTACACACAAAAATCAGGCCCTGGCTCAAAGCTGAAGTCCAGCTGGATGAACAACCAAGACTTTCTGCTGGAGCTTAAAGCCAGTGAACAAAGAAGAAAGATGAAGATTCCTTAACAATTACAGACAGGGATACGACAATAGATACCTCACAGCCTGAACATATGCTTCCATTTCTATGCACTTATTTAATCGGGCAGGAAGCTCAAACAGGAACTGAAGCTTCTTTAACAAAGAATGAACGCCAGCAAGCTTGGTGATCTGCTGCCGACGATCCTGCAGTGTGCTGCTGATACTTGTGGAGAAGTCAGTGATGGCTGACATGTTGCTTGCCAGGTGGTCCATCTCATCTTCCATCTTTCGAAAGTCATTCTTCATCTGTTCGATCAATGTCAAAAATATGTCAACCATCTCAAATTAATGTGGGGTAAAAAAATTGGAAATGAAATTAAACAATACTTTTAATTAAGGGTACAAAAAAGTGTTCAAATTATTAAAACATAAGATGTGACAGCTGGAATCTGTGGCTTGGGAAGTTATAAAGGCAGTTTCATAACTCCAACATACATGGTTGGATTCTGCTTATAACAATGGTATTAGCATCGACTATTCAGGAAACAATGTAAAATTGCCTTGTAAAACCATAAACCACCAAGAAATTATGGGGTTTTGCAACGTTGTGTAAACGATATGCAACTTAATTTATATTTTCTTATGATGTGTCAATCACATTTAACTGCACACATGTATAAATTTACTAACAACATTCAGGAATGCTGACTGACAACAATAAAATGGTTACACATAGGCACATTATTGGGGCCTATAGTATGTGAAGCCCTATAACTTCACACCCACATAGCAGAATGCAAGATTACCTTAATAAATGTATCATTTATCACAATACTTATAAGGAAGTTCTAACACGAGATTTTTCAGCAAACACTTCTGGCAACATTACCTTTCTAATTGTGTCTGTGGCACTGATAAACTTGTTGTAGTTTTCATAAACTAAGGTCTGCATGTCACTGTCTAGACCCTTGATGTCACGAACCATCTTTTGCTCCTCGTCCATCAGCTCTGTCAGCGATCGTTCCTGTTAAACAGATATCTAAAGTACATTGTTGCCAATAGGATTACAAAATCTGGCAACATGAATTACTTTCTTACATCACTCACCATAACTTACTGACAAAATGACTGACAGGATGAGTAAGCTGCAAGCAAGGATTCAAGGAGGTAAGGAGGTAAGGAAAGTGGGGAAATTCCCCTCCCCAACTCCGTCCCCACCCAACTATAAACCTCTTTTAAAAACATTGAAAGGGCTGAAATATAATTCCCCCACCCCACCCATGCACACATGCACACATATGCTTGCATACACAGATAAGGAAGATGGGAACAGTGAGAGGCATTTCCTTGGATAAGCATAAAAGGAACAAACAATGACTGTTAAACAATGTACAATAAAAAGGCCACACTCACAATATGCAAAAGACAGGTTTCAACTTATAACTGGCAAGCTAAGAATACGTAATAGGATAAAACATTTTAAATATCCCTAAAACTGGTAAGCTAACAATATCTAATAATATAAAAAGGATTAAATGCTTTCACCATCCCTAAATTGACAATATACAATAGCATCAAATTTTCACTATCCCTAAACCTGACAGGTTAACAATATACAAAAGCAAGCAATATTTTACCTAACCAGAAAAACTGTGGCAAGCAATATTTTACCCACTCCTAAAACTGCTAAGCAAGCAATATACATTAGCATGCAGCACTGATTTAATTACTGCTAGAACTGTTTAAAATAGGGGGGGGGGGGGGGGGGGGGGGGGGGCAAAACAGTGTCACAGACTGACATACCTGGATGAGTTTTGACAGATATAATTGAGACTGGAAGTTGGCTCCATCCAAATTACATGGATCTGATGACTGTGGCACAATATGAGATGTAGCCTCAGTCTCTCCATTGTCCATGCCATAGTATAACTTGAGATCTCTGCGATGACGCCTTTCATCCCCAGTACCATTTTCTGGAAAATGAAAAAGGATTATGACATCATTCATGGAAATAACTTTGTGGGTAGATAATCAATGTTTCTGAGATTCTACCATCAGGGCAGATGACTGAAACTGATGAATTTCCATTATGGTGGTGGCCACAGGTTTAAGAAGAAGAGGTGGTGAGGGTAAGAAGACAATGGAAAGACAACATCAAGAAATGGACATTGTTAAATTATTATACACTTGTTTTATATTATTTTAGACACACATGGAAGACAGAGAAAGATGGCAGGTTGTGTGTGCTCCTGCTTCCATCAATAGACCTTGATGACTCTAGCAGCTCACGGGTTGTGTTATGTTAAAAGTTTAAGACAAGCCAGTAAATAACTGATTTTTCCATACGGTTACGGAATATTAAACTCACTGCTAGCTTAGGACCCACTATAGGCGATCATCATTTTGCAGTGTATAAAAATTGAATGCAATACTCCACAGTGTGTCGATATGAATTATTTACTAGGCGATCTTAAACTTTTCGCTCCCATTGTAGGTCACTGAAAGTTCTGACTCTCAATGTTCTGCCTACATAAACTGATGTGTAGGCAAAAAGCCTCTCGTATCTAAGGTGCAATCATCATCATCCCTGTTTTTTTGTGCTGATATTCTTGTGCACTTAATAGCAAGTTTTTTGCATATGTCTTCCCTGTAAGAAATGTGTCCACAGCAACATCAAAGGTGACCACGTGTTAAAAGAGTTTGCTGCAGATAAATTGCAGTGCCACTAGTATATCCAGGCTGGGAGCAGTCTGAGGCAGCCTAATGTAAACGATACAGAATGATATTTTTATACACTAAAGATACTTGTTTCTTCTTTTAAGCATTCCCCAGATGTAAACTCCAGGGGCTTTTCATGGTTCACTACTGTAATGAGGGGGAAATCGCAGGAATCACTGGAGGTTCCCAGTATGACAAGTTTAGGGTCAAGGAGCCAGTTAAGCGGGTGAAGCGTGGAAAAAGTATGTTTATAATTTCCCATGTCTGAGTGAAACAAACAAAAAAAACATGGGATGATGACAAAGGACTGGATGCGAGATAGTAGGAATGGTTAGTTGGTGTTTGACAGGCAAAGTGAGAGGTCAAGATATGCGAGAGGAGTGACTGATATGAACTGTGATTGCTGACAATCAGTCCATGGCACACAGGGAAGATGGCTGAACAGAAGTCATTCTGAATTGTAACATCAAGAGATTGAGAATATTTGTGGTGCTGCATTTGAGATGTGAGCTGTCATGTAACTGGAACGCAAGGAATGAAAGGTTACTATGTCTGAATTCAAGTTGTGTTTTTGATACTGCAGTATTTGTGACTGACTCATAGAATGAGTGAAAACTCAGACCAGCAACTGGACGAAATGTTTGTTGGAACAACAATAAAGGATACTTTCATCAGAATGGTGTGTTGTCGAAATCTGTGTTTCTACTAACTTAACACCTGAACGGAGAGGAGACCAGAGTGGCTGTGTGTCTAATCAGAGAAAAAAAAAAAAAAGGAATGACATCATTGCAGCTAGGTTCTTGATTTCCCAATCACCAGAGAATATAAAACAAATGTGGTGAGCATGAGACTTACCTCCGATTCAATACTGACACACAACTTCCACTTGATAGTGAGATTAAGAAGAAAATGTGCAGCAGGTTAAAAGGGGGCTCTACTTGCAAATTTGGACGCAAGCAGGACGGCTTCGGTCATCTTAGTGGGAGTTCTCTCCCTTGGCCGCACTCACAACAACGAGCGGAAAAAGTCACGAATCAAATGACATACTTACCTATCATCATCCGGGTGCGTGTAGGGTTGCGTAGGGTGTCTATTATCATCATACAGTTGCGTGTAGGGCTGCGTACGGTTGCGTAGGGTGTCTATTATCATCATACGGTTGCGTGTAGGGCTGCGTAGGGTGTCTATCATCATCATACGGTTGCGTGTAGGGATGCGTAGGGTTTGGGTTAGCGGTAGGGTTAGGGTTAGGGGTTAGGGTTAGGGTTAGGGGTTAGTTAGGGTTAGGGTTCGGGTTAGGGGTAGGGTTAGATGTGAAAATTTTCACATAGGAGGTCGAAATAGTGGCCGACAATCTGATGTTTGTGGAAGTGGCGCCACTGAAATTCTGCCAAATATGACGCCAATAGCAGGCGGCTGGTGCCCATTCGCTGGCGAATTGTTCGTTTCACTAGCATCCACAGGCCTTCGATTGTTTGTGTGTGTATGTGACTATGCGCGACGTCGACGAAGTTGGTCTGGTGGACTACTACCTTGTGCAGATAGATGCCATGCCTTAAGTTTGCGATGTTGCTGTAGCCTCGATGGTCGTTCCCGGCAGGACGTGATCTGTTATGATCCTCTCCAATGTCGCCGCATCTCGTTTTCACACAAGCTCCAAGTAGCAACGGCCAGTCTGACGCTCTACTAGCCCTACGACCCAACGACCGTGACAGATGCGACCGCGCTGATAATTTCGTCGGAAGAAGTAGCTCTCATCTACTTCAACCACGACAGATCTGCCGGTCTCATCGAGTCCTCCCAACTCCACGGTGTGTCTGAACATCCAATTATAGCATTCCTGACGGAAATAATTGGTGTAGTTGACAATGGTGGACCAGCACGTGAGTCTCTTGAAGACCATGACAGTCGTTGAACTTACGCCGGAGAGCCAGTAGTACATCATCATCACTATTTTCTTGGTGTCGGCATGTCGCTGTTGATGTTGTTTGGTTCGTGACTTTTTCCGCTACTTGTTTTGAGTGCGGCCAAGGGAGAGAACTCCCACTAAGACGACTGACGCCGTCCCGCTTGCGTCCAAATCTGCTAGGAGAACCTAAAAGGGGAAAGTCTTTGATCAGTCATGCCATGGACAATTACTCAATAGATTTTGTTCACTGAGAGCACAGAACATGGCAAAAACTGGGTACAAGTGCCAACAGAGTGCTGTATATCTTTTTCAGTATGTATATGACTGGACAGAAAATGCACTAAACCTGGCTGCTGTAAAGGCAAAAGTTAAGTGTTTTACATCTGAGAATGCTTCTGAGTATAGGATTCGCAATGATATGACTATCTTGTGCTGTTGGTTAGGGGGAAAAAAGAATAACAATATAGCGATAAACAATAAGGACTGAATCATAATTAATTTGAAACATAATATATGTATTATGTAACACTGCATTAAATATTCCATATAATTTATTATAGGCTCAGTCACTCCACGGGAAAAATAATTTGTCTGCCCTTTATTTATTTTTTTAGCTTTTGAAACAGCGAACATGTAATATTAAACTGGCACACACAGAGGAAATCATAGTCATATTATCTGTCCTATCCTAAAACTGTTAAGAAACCGAATAATAGGCTAACCGATTTGTTGTTGTGATTGTGACTGCCTCCTCTCGGTTTTGTCAGCCATTGCTGCAAAGATTTAATTGTATACTTCATCGGTGATTGTCGGCAAACTTACGAAAACACCCGAAAGTTAAAGGGTTGTTGAGTCAAGAATTGACATCACAGCACTCGGGGTATTCCCATGCGCGCTCTGTCCCCATCTTCAGCAGCCAGTGCTGAGTTGTGATACTGATGGTACCGGTCACAGTCTTGCCTTTCGTCTGAGTGTAGAGAGCCGGCCAGACCCTCTGGTTACACCCATGGGCCTCATTCTCTCCAGGCCATAATAATTTTCTTTCTCTACTGATTCCGTTGCTTGTTCCGAAAGGGCCTTGACCACATCTACCTTGTCATGTATCAATTCACCACCCAGTGGTGCAGATCCAGATAATATGTCTGCCTGTTCATTACCCACTACACCGTCATTCCATTCTTGCCTGATAAATCCAGCTTGGATTTTTTTAAGCATGTTCATCGAGTCACTAAGAAAGCATACGTGTGTGAACTTTTGAGTACCAAGCCATGTTAAAACCCTTGTTACAGCAATAGTTTCCATTGTAAGGCTACTAGTTGTAACAGCAAAGGCGCTATTCATCTCTTTGATGGTTTTTCCCCTTAAGCCTACGGTGAAGGCCCATGCACTTCGCTTGCCCTTAATTACTGACCCATCTGTGTAAAGTACAGCATCACCTTCATCTGTGTTTTCGTCAATCAATGTTCTGACTAAAGTGTCAGTTACGCCAGGAATCTACTCTCTACAGCTTCCATCAAGTTTGATATGGACTGTAATATTCATGTTTGGAGAGGGAGGCATAATTATCCATTCATTTCCAAAATTATTGTCAGTAAGGCGGCAAACATCTTCGATGGCATCCTCAGCCCGACCCATCCAGGATTTGCCTCGTTTTAGTCTATCATTTTTTTTTTGCTTGAATAATTCCTCATAAAGTGGGTGTCGATAGTTTGATTTCACTTTGAGACCTGGATAACTTGATTCTGTTTTCCATTGTGGGGAAATCCAAGAGGTATCGCGTGGATTTACAGGAGGTGTCTCTAGTGCATACAAGAATAATGCGCATTGCTTCGTTTCCAATTTTTTTCCAGTCTGTTCATCTGTGTGGTGCTGAGTGTCATGATGGCCAAGGCATATTCAATGGTGGAAAGAACTAATGCAAGATACAACATTACAAGTAGCCGTTGCTCAAAGTTTGCAGCTCCCATAACTTTTATTGCGGAGAGACCTTTCTTGGCTTTGAGCAGAATGCTGTTGTAGTCAATGCATATGGCAACTCTCTCATCAGCGATAACTCAAACGAAGCAGACGTAGGCCTAATGATTTACACAGGCGGATCTGTTATACGACAACAAAGAAGTGTATGGTCGTTCCAGCACGCTCAGCGGACAGAACACTCAAAGAAGCCAGCTGTGCTTTCTCCATGACAACAAGCAGCATGAGGATGGAGGTGATGGCGGTAATGCAAGCATTCGTATGCTAAGAACACAAGACTATACCCGTGCGTGTGTACTTGGCGATTCTATGAGCATGGTCCGAAAGATCCAGACAGGTTCTGTGCGAAGGCAGTGGATTGAGCCATTACAG